CTGGCACATTTATAATAATAAGAGAAATATTTTTATCTATTGTTGCAGGTATAGTGCAATATTTTTAATAAAATAATAATTTAAATAAATAAAATAAAATGTGTAAGATAGCTTGAGAATAAGTAGATAAAAATAATTACTGTTTATTAAGAAACAAGTGATCTTGCAGACTGACAATGAGTGAGGCGGCTGTGAATATCAAGATCTCAAGTTCAAATCCCACTATCATTTTTAAGATTTTCTCAGGTCTGGTCCTTTTCAACGGAGTTCATCGGTCAATCGGCGAAATGAATCGGGCCTCCAAAGATTAATTTGCATGAAATCTCGAAGTAATACCCCTTTCAAAAGACACTATGCCACTTGTTTTTTTTTAGTAAAGAAGTTTACTTGGATTCTAGATAGAATCTTGTTTTAAATTTTAAATTGCAATGCGTTAAACTTCCAATTGGAATGGATATAGAATTTCTACGACGGATCCAATATATTTTGGGAAAATCTAACTGATTTTCGAAGAAATCCCAAACAAATTTCTATGCGAACATTAACGCTAATTTATTCAGTAATTCACTATCAGTAATAACTCCTCAGTAAGTATCCAATACTTCTCAGTAATTTGCCAAATTACTGTGATAATTGTGACAATTGTAGACCTAACTGTGTGTTGCATTTTTTGGACTGTTTTTGATTCTCTGCGAACATACAAAGTTAACCATAGTTCGTGCATTACTTTTTAGTTGGGGAATGCCCGAAGATATTATCTCAAACTTTATACGTAAGTACCTGGTAAAACATTTTTCATATATACTTATACACAAATTAAAATAATTATTAGGGGGGTATTCAAGGTCTATCATATATGAGATGCGAAACTAGCATCCTATGTGAATTTAAAAATTGAAATTTCAATTCGAAAAACACACGTGAAAAACTTGAATTTACTTATATGTGTGTACACACATATAAGACATATTTTCAGCACAACATCCTGCGAACGGCTCCTTAAGACTTATTTATTCATTCATTAAGTTTAATAAACTTCATGAACCAAAGGAAGATACTCACTTTAACATTGATTTAAAATAATTATATTTAAGTATGCAAATTTATATGCTAAATATGTCCATACAATTTTATACACGGAGAAGTTCTTTTTTTAAGAGAATGACTTCAGAGATAATTCATATCAAATTACAAAATAACTCTAGTAGTATCATGTTAGATACAAAAGAAGTATATAAAACTTTATTTTTACTAATATAAAAAAATTAGGAGTATCCTCCGGTTCAATATGATAAAATCAAAGGTATGTTTAGTTTGGCGAAAATGAATGGAATGAACCAATGTGCAGGGTGTAGTGCAGATAAAAATATTTATTTTAGTAGAAATTGCATTCGTTTAAATTTAATTTTCAAACACATTTTAAACATCATATCGAAATTTTCTAATTTTTCATATTGGAAGAATGTAGACAAAATGTCACATATTAAGAAAAATTTTCAACACCGATTGTTACGATTAGAACTCACCGATAAATATAGGAATATTCAACATTACAAACATAAGTTACATCATATATCTTTAGATTTATACAAAGCGTTCCCGTTAAACATTATTGCTCAATTTATATACAGGGTGTCCCAGAATTGGTGTAACATCTCTCGTAGACAGGTAGAAGGAGTAAAACTGAGTCGATAAGTCCTATATCATTTTGCTAGATTCGCAATAGTTACCGAGATTTTAATTAACAAAGATCCGCGAATAAGCGTGCATCGGGCTGTCTTACGCACGTAGGACAGCCCGGCGCGCTTCGCACAATTACATTGTAATATATATATGTATAGTATATGCTGTTATATTAGCTCCTCCCATATGTCGCTATGGGTAACACCGTCAGCGCGCGTAGCGCACTGGGCTGTCTTAAGCGAGTAAGACAGTCCGATGCATGCTTATTCGCTGATCTTTGTTAATTAGATCTTTGCTAAGATCTCGGTATCTATTGCGAATCTAGCAAAATGGTATAGAACATATTGACTCAGTTTTACTCCTTCTATTTGTTCACGAGAGATGTTACACCAATTCTGGGACACCCTGTATATTCAACAAACGTCTATAAACAAATATTTCTTAAATAAGAAACGTACACTTAACACAAACATTACGATTTTAAAGTCTATTCGCCTTCGTAATATTCAACCAATTCAATATTTTATTCATCATAATATACACAATTCTGACAAACAAAAATCAAACACATCTTATAGTGAATGGTCATTCAGTTTTAATAATCACAATCAAATACTATTCTCAAAATAGATATATAACCTGAAGAATTTCAACACAAAAAAATCTTAGATTTAAAATTAAATAAAAAATGGTTTATAAACTTAACAGGGTTAACAATCCCTAAACAAATCATAGAAAGTAACCCAATTTGGTGATAAATTTACACTTCTTATTAGACATGACAAAAAGAAAGTTGTTATAGAAACGATTAAGGACGTCAAACATAACATTATTAAATTCAATAAAACCATCAAATCAAAAATTCACAATGACATCACAACTTATGTAAAAGACTTCATCAAAGATAATAAACAACTAACACACACAGAGAAAGATATATTAAAAAATTCAAAACAAGTTTCTAAATTTATTAAAGATAATCCTAACATTATCTTTACTAGAGCAGATAAAAGGAATTCTACAGTAGCTTTACTTAAAAATGACTATCTTTCTAAAATGACCGACATATTAAAGGATGAAAAAACGTATACACTCATTGATAAAAATCCCTTACGTAGCATCAATAATCAACTTAAAAATATATTAGATAGATGGTTCACCAACAATTATATTAATACACTCCAAAAAAAACACATATACAATAGTGACCCGATACTACCTAGATCATATGGAATTCCGAAAATCCATAAAGTAGGCTACCCGTACAGAATTATTGTATCAACAATCGACACAGCCCTCTACATCATTTTTCACTTTTTCTCCACAAAATCATATATAATAGTATTCTGAATTCTCCGTTTTCAAATAAAGATAGCTTCCATTTATACAACAAATTATCAGGCCTAACTATTGAATGTGATCATATTCTCTGCTCTTTTGATGTCATTTCTTTGTTCACCAACATACCAATAGATCTTGCATTAGACAGTGTTAACAGAAGATGGAAATATTTACGATTACACACAAAAATATCACATCAAGAATTTTTAATGGCACTTGATTTCGTTTTGTCATACATATATTTCATTTTTAACAGTAAAATTTATAAACAAACATTTGGAACTTATATGGGTTCCCTACTTTCACCAATCATAGCAGACATTACGATGCAAGATCTCGAACTTAAAGCATTAAATACATTAACGTTCACCATTTCGATATATTATCGATATAGTTTAGATATATTGAAAGTACTAAATCTATTTGACAGAGCAAGACATAGATGAAATTGTGTTATAATATCTGACTAAAAAGGATAATACAAACATTAATACCAAAAATTGAACATAGAATAAAATTTCATTTAAAATGGAAAGAAGTTTTGAAAACTGTTTTCTCTCAATCAAATGTTGTACAACAAGAAATCAATCTATAACATCTGTGCACGATACATTTAAAAACGTCAATACAGAAGATAAAGAAAATTTCGACACAGAAATAATTCACGATTTGATAGTACCAATTATTAATATTGATAATAACACAGAATTCATTTCAAGCATAAATAAAAATGTCCAGTCAGGAGTTCTACAAGATTTAGCATCAATTATAAACACAAATGGAACTTGTGATAAGAACACAGAAGAACTAACTTCAAAAAAAGTTAGTGAAGATAGCAGAGAATCATATGTACGCGTAGAAATAATATTTTGCTATTTGAAACGAGATTCTTCTTGTTTATATAAACAGGTGCCGAAATTGCGTGAGACAAACATCTCGAATGCGTCAGAGGCTCGCTCAGAGTTACAAGGTCGAGCAGAGAGCAACGAGAGATCGAAGCGGTGGGGACGCGCACACAAGCGAGAACCGTGTGCTTGTAACTCTAGGCTCGCTAGACTTCTCGGCACGCCTAATCAACAACCTGCTCAAGCAGCACACGTTAGATCAGCCGCTTACAATACTAGTAAAGCAGCCGCACGCGTTAAACGCTATGTCACAAAAGATATCTCAACTTTTTGGTTATTCGCGGTACAATTGTATAAGATTGCCGCCGATATTTGCGTCCGATAAAACCTGAGTTTTTTAACCCGATCAGTCCGATAACACTTATTCCGAGAGAATTTTTTCGACGACCCTTGTCTAGCGAAATGTAATAAAGTAGATAGCATCTGCGTTCGTGTATGGATCCTCGCAGGATAAATACGAAAATCTTAGCGCAATAACTATCACGAGATCCGCTAGCCCGCAGAGTTCGATAAGGTAGAAAGCCGCCGAGACTAATTACATACGCGTTATTATCTAAGTTAATCAATCAGGTGCGACTCTCCAGAACAAATTATTTACAAGTAGTCAAGTTGAGCGAATTTCTCGCGTTCTTTGTAACATCAAGGACCGCGTGCTTTTTCGCCGGTTGACCGCAGGGGCTCGCCCTGCCAAATCGATTTGATCCGATGAAGACAAAATTCTCTTTTGTTATTTGGCCTAACAAGAAGGACAATGGCCCGGAAAACCGAAGATTCTAGGTTCGACTTTTGGCTGAAGAGTTTTTTTGCAATAGTTTAAATTAGTTTTGGGGGATATTCAAGGTCCTTCGTATACGTGATGCAAATCTAACCTCCTATTTGAATTGAAGAATTGAAAACTCAATTCAAAAAACTTACTTGTAAATTACTTGTGAACACGTATATATATTCGTATATATACACACATATTTCCGCACAAATATCCTGCAAACTGCTCTTAGAACCTTATATATTTTGTTAAAATTCTCTTTGTTCTGCGCGATATCGACGGCGAGCCAGTGCTTTTGATCTCACGAAAATTTTACACAGTGGAGCAACAGACTAAAAAACAATGCGGCTTCGAGCCGGTAGCTCACCAGTGCTGTCTTTTTGCTCGCTCTCGGTTGAATCGTACCACCTCCTCTGCCTCGTCTGTCTCGATTAGGCCAATCTCGTTCTCAGGTGACCTCTTACTCACGTTTTACTCGCACTTAGTGTCGCTTAAATTCGCACTCTAATTAACTATTCGCTTTAAGTGACGTATCAGTTCTCTTGTCTCGCGAGTTTTGCCACCTTATATACTCAGGTGACGGCGAAAGGCTCAGGACAGCGGGGAGAGGATTTCGGTTGTGACAAAGGTGGGCGGGTGCGTCTGTAGTCGTTCTACCACGTCATATTATATACATATGAATTATAGACATATAAAGTATAGACTGGAAATTGCGAAATATTTAAGCCTCTTGCACAATAGATGGAATAGCGATAGCGATAGAAATAAAAAAAGTTTTAAAGAGTTTATATTTAAAAATAAAGGTAGGAACAGCGGAATCTAACATACAAAACTACACATGTATCAATGCAGATCAGAAAATTGGAATAAGCAATAGCGATAAAACTTTCGACGAGTTGAAATTCTATGTTAAAAACTGTGTTATTTCTATGGCTATCGCTATTCCTTCCATTGTGCAAGGGGCTTTACTTCGCGACGCGTCGTAGACTATTTCGTGTGAATTCGTGATCAGCGGGAATATCCGAACGCTTCTCTCTGGAGTTTTACGGAATTCGACAAATTGCGAACTCACACACGGTAGGAAAAAAATTAGGTAAAATCGTACGCATAGATGTGCGTTGAGTCAGCGTAACTTAATAAAATCGTTTATTTACATTTGTTTTATTCGTGTGTAAACTAAAAAACAACACTTGGAAGAGTCAATAAGGTATGAACGCACTATAAAGTGACGAACACGCGAATTTTTAGCCGTTTATTGATTCTCCTATGTTATAACATCTATATTTTTGTATTTTGCGACTGAAGATGGACTCAAGTACGAGCCGAAACGTTTCACTTTAATGTAAAATAGTTTTTTGTAAAAAACATTTTTTATTATAATACATTTTAATTGTTGCTCGCTATTTAACCGGATTGTTTCAATTTTATTTTTATTTTAATATATGTATATAAATACATGTACATATATCTTATATATTAAATATAAGAATGGTTTTAATATCTTTGGAATATTTCTAATTTTCTTTTTACACGTAAGTTAAGATAAAAAAATAATACTGATATACTATACTTGTTCGTTATCCAAAACATCATGTTGCTTACAGTATGATTCTGAATAGAAAGTTTTCTTTGTATTCCTTTTATATTGCTAAATGCCATTGTGGGATTGTGAGTTGCAATAATAAGTTTTATAATTTCCACCGGCAAAATTCCAAATAAATCTTTTAAAAAATAATTGAACGATGCTTCTAAGCTCCTTCTAATTTTGTTATTTATTATTGTAGTTCTCTGAAGACGTTCAAAGAACCGAAAGTTTGTAGGTGACGTTAAAACATCATCTTTCTTTGCGTTGACAAAACAACTTTTAACTATATTAATCGAAATATCATTGGTCAGTACTAGGTTGTCATTAGGCATAGAGATTCTTCTTAGTATGAGGACCGATATTGCGTTGGGTATTAATTCCTTCATCTGCAACAAAGATATACACTTTGTTTTATATTTGCACATTTAAAGAAATCTTTTACATAGAAAGAATACATTTTGACGTCATTTAGCACAATTAGTATTGATCATACTTACCCGTAAATAATATTTTATTATCCCAGCAGCAAAAGCTGTTAATATTATGTCAGTAATTTTTGCTCCTGTACATTGTCTTATTTTTTTAATTTTTGTCAGAAGCTGCGATTTATTGGTATCCTTTTCCAAACGATAAACTGTAAGTTTCGCACCTGTTAATGTCCGACCTTGCAAAGAGCTACAAGATTAACTCATTATGTTATTAAACATAAAATATTTTATCTAAATATCAATAGACGATTTGATGAATATCGGTTTATGAAGTTTGTATTCACATATGTAAAACTTGGTATTTAAACATTACATATTTTGTATATTGAAAAACTTTATATAATTCTATTTAAAAATATATTATTTTATTTCAGTGTTTTAAAATATTTAAATATTGACGTGTTTAAATACTGACCTTTTGCCATCGGTCATCCTATTACGAACAATTTGAGAGACAAAGATTTCTAGAGAAAACAATATAAGTATTACTTTTCTTATGATTTCTTTAATTGTATTATATACTCCATTCAAGTGTAAAATAATTTTTCGTTTTGGATTAGTTTCTTGCTCCTTAAAATAGTTTTCTTTAGCAGACAAAACGCTGTCCTGGGGTTCATCCAATATTGTCGACACTTCATTTGTGATATTCTCGTCGACAATCACATTAAGCAACTTGAATAAAGCTTTACCATCACTAAGAGAATGATGAACACGAAATACTACAGGAACTTCGTCTACATCGGTATTAAAGCTGTCTTGAGAAGACAAGCTCGGATCCTTTTCAATGGAAGATTTGACGTTTGGACAACGTCTGCCAATAAGCATTTCCCACATCGGTTTGTGATCATCATACAACGGTCTGTTGCATATAAAACCTAGATTTTCTTGAAAGGTTGTACTGTGAACATTCTCGCAAGATCCATCGCAATTACTGATTTCACACTCCAACCATCTAATAGCGGTTTCTGGATTAAAGTCTTTTGATTTCTCCCAATAAAAGTAACCAAACTTTTGATATCTATAGTAAAACAGTTTTTCGAAACTTTTGGGGGCAGTTTTAAATACGTGATTGAATACGTTTCTCATATCCTTCAAGAAAGTCATATTTGTACTTCCTGCGGTTTTCTTCATTATGAATACGACAGTAATCGCGGATAAAGATGTATCTTCGACGGACCAAAAAGCATCCAACCCTTCCAACAGACCGGCAAATTTGTCTTCAAGTTGAATTCTTAGCACAGTTTCCACCCAACAACGGTAAAGATATATTCTTTAATTGTTTAATAAAATAGATTCTATAAATCTAAAAAAGTTGCGAGCATTCTACACAAAGATTCATCTTGCTCTTTACTTAGCAATTTATTTAATGTTGAAATTGTTGATGTAACGCAAAAAGTATCAACATTCTCTGTTGAAAATATAGCACACTAAACAAACATACATGTGCGTGTGGGATTATCGTACGTGTGTGGTTTATCTTGATGAAATAAATAATGGATGCTTTCCATTTCATTTATATGCGTACATGTATCTATAGTGCATGGTACGTATGTTATAGATCATGCACGCTCATCCATGAAACGAAATGTATCTAATAATTGTGGAACTGCTCCAATCGTTTTGTACCTAATTTTTATGTTTGTATTATATTCTTGTTTTTCTTTTGCAAAATCACTCTGTCATCATAGAAATTCTATTTTGATCTCTTACACACTACACTGGAAAAAAAAACTATTAACTCAACTAAATGCGTTTAGTTGAGTTTCAGTTTGTTATCTGAAATACTTAGTTTTTTAATTCAAGCATATGGTAATGAAGATAACAAATTCGTATAAGTTGTATTAACAATAGTGGTAATAAACATAATTAATTCACTAAACCATGAATTGTTTCGTCGAACATAAGTTGTGATAATTTCAAATAAAAGATATTGTTAAAAAAGATGAAATAGACCATTTCCATTTACTTTAATTATATATAATCTGAATTTCTTTGTACTAAGTATTTTATTTAATCAAACTGCATATTTTTATAAGCAGACAAAATATTGTGTTGTCCTATTGTGTTGTAAATTCAAAGTGTCCTATAGTTAAGCAAATTATAATTTTGTTAAAACACAACTAAATTGTTTCTTTCGGTATAATCTAATTATTATATCTATTGAAACATGATATTTTCTTACATTAATCAATATTTTATTGACAGTCCGTGACCGCTACATATAGTTGAATCGAATACTATTTTGTTACTTCACCAACTTTTTTTTCTCAGTGTACCGACAAGATCTAAGATCCAACATGTGACTATAATGATATTTTTTAAGTTTTGGGGTTTGTTTCAATAAACGCAGTAGTATATCAAGTGTTGTACAGTCATCAAATGTCAAACTCTTTCATTAACTCTATTCGATTAGAACTCGCTTTTTATTTAAATGTCTGGTAAAAAAGTTTTGATATATATTCCAATAGTCAAATGCTATCAGTATGCTAGCAGTATGCACGCAGATGTAATCAGTATTTTGCAGCAGATTCTACTCAGCTGTGTCATCATAGTGATTTGTTACGTTGAAGTTTTGATATATATAATTATATATAAGTATCCTACATAATTTACTCACTATAATGACACAGCTAAGTGGAATCTGCTGCAAAATGCTGATTAAACCTGCGTGCATACTGCTGGCATATTGCTATCATTTGACTATCGAGGTATATTACTTATACACAAAGTAAAATTATTATATCTAATTATGCAATTTTATCTATATATACAAATATGTCCATACAATTTTCTGGAGAATTACACGGAGAATTTCTTTTTTTAAGAAAATGGCTTCAGAGTATCAAATTACAAAATAATTTTATTAGTATGTTAGATACAAAAAAATTATATAAAATTATTATTTTTGATATTCAAAGATCACTTCAAAATTACAATATGACCGTCTGTCGATCACATTGTGATTTTGAAGTGATTTTTATATAAAATAGAAAGATATAATATTTTTATATAAGAATTTTAATTTGTGTATAATTATATATGATTATATATATCGAAAATGTTTTATCGGGTGGCCTTACAGAAAAGTATTACTACGGCAGTAGTGATTAATTATTGTCTTTTAGTAAGTTAATTATTAAATCGCAGTGATTTTTAGTAATTTAATTACTACTGTGTCAATAATTTTTAGTAGTTAGTAATTGTAGTATGTGTGCTTGATTAGTGATCCAATAATTTAGCCGTGTAATGAATTACTAGAGAATCACTGAGAGACCTTGGAATGAATTACTTGCTAAGTGATGAAACTATTTGATCCATTACTTAAACTCAATGATAATTTACTGACTCAGTAACGTGGCTGCAGAATAAATTACTACACAAGTACCGGAGCTTTATAATGAATTATTGACTCAATGATTTAGCTGTGACAAAAATTACTGGCACATTTATAATAATAAGAGAAATATTTTTATCCATTGTTGCAGGTATGTTGCAATATTTTTAATAAAATAATAATTTAAATAAATAAAATGAAA